GTCCGCGTGTTTCCACCGTGTATTCGTGTGTACGTGTGTGTGTGTGAGCACGATGCGTTCCGCATCCTCCCGTCGGTGTGCGTTGTACGCGCCGTCGTGTGCGGCTCGCCGCTTTCATCTCGTTTTTCCCCGTTTTAACGTTAGCCTAATTATACGATACGCGCATCTCGTTCTCTCTCGCATTCTCTCTCTCTCTCTCTCTCCCCTCGTTTTCTCACTCTCGCCCTCTCGCTCTCTTCATTGTTCGCTTCCTACTTTCCGCCGTCTTCGTCGATTCGATTTACTTTTATCCGCTATCTATTTCGTCCGTCTCTCCGCTGGTCTTTCGCTCTCTCGCTCGGAACCTTTCATTCTTCCTCTCGCTTTCCGACACAGGCAATCTTCTTACGTTCGATTCTCTCTTTCCCTCTGTTTCCGTCTCTGTCTCTCCCCCGTGCGTTCGAGAGCGCGCGCGCGAGCCCACGGTTTTAAGAAATTCCGGTCCATCTCTCTCTTCTATCGATTTTCCGGCGGTGCGAGGTCTGGGCTTGCCGGCTCTCCGGTTTTCCGCTAGAGATTTTCGGATACCTCCCCCCCATCCACCCCGGGAACGCGAAATTTTATTCGGAACTCTGTGGACGGTTCGCGGGAATTTGTTGTTCGTGCTTGTTCAATTTTGTGAACGTTCGATGGTCAGTCAGTTAGGTCTACCGTTTTATCGTTGAATTGTATCCGAATGAAACTGAAGAGTTATGCAATCGATATGTGGAACAGGATGTTCTCTAAGAAAATTAATGTAATCTCGAATTAAAGAAGAGGAGTAATTATCGAGATAATATTGAAACGTTAATATTCGTGAACACTCGAGGAATAATTATCAGAATATTATAGCATATGAATTTTGCTTTCGTTAACGATAAATCACCCGCGAAAGTTTCGTCGTCGCGCCTGCCGTTCGATATATTGAACTCTAGCCCATCGCGATACGAAGTGTCTAAGGTAAAGAAGAACGAGACGCGAGGATTAAAGTCACCGTGTCGAGAATATAAAATTCCGCGACTGTGCTCCTCGCTAGAGCACGAATCGAAATTAAACGATAATACGAGGTCGTTCGCGTGAAATGGAAATCAAGACGGAGATTACGACCTTGCGACGAAAAATTTATTCCGACCGGACCGTATTCGATTCGTTCACCGTAACGACGCTCTGTGTTTCGAACTAATTAGCTCGCGGTGGGGGTAGTGGCCTTGACCGAGTAATTTATTACGGACAGACTATAGCTCTCTGAATTGTTCCGCTGTTAGGTCGTTGCACTTGAAGCGAGCGACTTTTCCGGACGCTGAACGATCGTCGATCGAAACGGAGTTTATTGATCGGTTCGAACAGATTTCCAACAACGATTTCCTCGACACATATGGATTCCCGTAAATTACAAGCGTCTAACCGTGAGAACAAAACGAAAAATCTCACGAAACTCGCGGAACGAACGCGCAGTAACCGAGAAACAGAGCGCATGTAAGAAAAATGAGGCGTTTCATTCACTTAAACAATCATCGAACAATTTATTGCCAAAACAAGCAGCTCATCGTAAACAATAAAATAAACAATTTAACATAACATGATTACAGTGACGTTCCTTAATCGTTTTCACTTACAAAAAAACATAGTCGAATATTCACGTGCAACAACCTATACACGACGTTATTAAAAAGAAAACTCAATGTTTTTTGCTTTTTTATACCCATTCACATGTACATACCCTCACTACAGTCAGATTGCAAA